AGGGACCTGGCGCTACCAGAGCAGGGACTGGTCTGGCAGGGAGAGAGGGGGACAGCACAGCCAGCGCCATGCCTAGAGCACTTGGCCTGGAGCTGAATGGTAACAGGGAATGAGCATAGCTCCACGTTCCCTTGTCCTGCACCAGCCCTGAATCACGGTATTTTACTGCAGAAAGCTGCAGGAAACCTTGAAGCACTTCAGATAAACCTTGGAGGTAAGTTAAAGTGCCCGCAGGAGCACTGCTGCAACTACACGGACTTACTTGAGGTAGGTGAGGTGTAACTCTGCTTCTTTTTCTGCTTCTTCTAGTTTCAACACCAGCAGCTCCTTCCGGCTCTCCAGGGACAGGATCTAGCAGAGAGAGGCCCCACGTGAGGAGCAGTTTGTGTACTGCTCCCTTGTTTCTCACGGCCAGACTGGAGTCTCTTCACTAAGCACGTTCCAAGCACACCAGGGCCACCGACATTCACGGCACTGATACTCGGCCCTTACGGGGACCTAGCCTCATCCTCAATTGCTCCTAATTTCACATAATCATTCATTACAACCTGGAATCTTAAAAAGACTCTCTTCAGTAACTGCTTTGTGGGTAAGGAGTCACTCACTAACCTCCGCTTTCCAGGCCCGTTCTGTCTCCTCGAGAATGTTCCTGTTGATTTCATTGTGCTGGTTCTTCAGCTTATCGAGCTCCATCTCCCAGAGCTGCCTGCACACAAAAACACAACCAGCCTGCTCAGGCTCACGCCCCGGCATGGCACAGAACAGGAGAGCTGAAACTCCCACAGAACTGACTGCTCTGGGTAGCTCCGGATGGGGTGGAACCATGAAGACCAACAGCTTCCAGACTGTGACTGCAGCCATGGTCCCCCAGGAGACACGAGCCCCTGGCCCCAGAGCCAGCTGTTCCAGAGCACACAAACAACTGGCGCGCAAACACGCTGGGCAGAACGAGGTGAGGGCAACTCCCCGAGGCAGCACACAGAACCAAGCCGTTCTGATCCCAAGGCCCTTTGGCCTGTGTTGTGCGAGCATCTACACCTGCATCTGGAGCTTCTCTGCCTAGTTTTAAAATATCTGAGTGTGCCAGAGTTCAGAGCAGTCAGGGACAGCTGCAGGGCACGGGCAGAGAAATAGGTTTGCCTTAGTTCTGGGCAGCTGAAATTGAATTGGAGGCAGCAGTTACAAGCCGAGCCAATCCACGGAGCATAAACTCTAATCTTACGGGATCTTTATGTCACAAGTATCCAGGAGCCTGTTGTGACCAGGATCAAAGCGGGTTTAATCTAGAGACCGGGGGCACCGGGCTGCTGGCACAGGAGAAACCCTTCGGAGCACAAAACCAGGCAGCACGTTAACACCGCTCTCTCCAGCCAACCCCGCCAGGAGCAGCACATTCACTCCAAGCAAAAGCAGCGGAAGGAAAAGACTGTTCCGCAGCATTAATCCGGCGATGGGCGAGAGCCTTACTTTTCATCAGACTGCTCCGCAATGAGAGAAGCAATCTTGTTTTCCTTCTCCTCCTGCTCTTTCAGCAACCTGCACGAGAGGAAAGGACAGGAGGAGTCACCTGCTGCGACGGCTGTATCGCCCAGCCCCTCATGCTGCACAGCCCCGCGCCCCGGGTAACAGCACGCTCCGAAGGCTGCCCCGTTCCACAAACGTTTGAAAGCAACCGCTAACATCCTCCCGAGCAAGAATTTTGCTGTATCGTGACACTGCACAAAGGCTGTGGCACAGAACCAGAACGCGCTGCAGGGAGCTGTGCCGCTCGGCAACACGCGCTCCGCCACCGTTCCCTGAGGGGGAGACGGGGGCTGCGTGCTCGCAGCCATTATTACGAAAAGGGCTTTAGCCAACGTTATCAGGCCCTCGGAACAAAAACCAAAACACCAGACCTCTACAACCCGACAGAAGGGCTCCCTAAAAGCACAAATTCACCACTCGGAGGAACCGTCAGTTCTTCACAAACAACTTGCCCCCTGCTTGCAAGAAATACTGTCTTTTCCGTACTAATACCTTCTGCCTTTCTCACACAGTTTCTCAATTTCTGCTTTCAGATCCTGCTCTTTCCGCAAGAATTCTTTCTTTTCCTTCTCCATCTTCTTCTTTGTCTCTTCTCGCTTGATCGTAACATCCTGAATCGCTTTCAGGATCTCCTAGGGTAAAACAAGCATGGCACAATTAAGGAGCAAAATTCCCAAGTAAGGGTTTTGTGTTTATATCTGTTATTATTTTACATTAATTGAAGCGAGATTAGGAGATTACGCATATCATCAACGTCTCTCTTTTCAAGATGTCCAGATGAGATACATAGCAGTTACAACGAGGAAACCCAGGAGACAGACAGACAGTCTAAACTGCAGGTTCTCCTGTGTCTTTAGGAGGCCTTTGAGGGGCAGTGAGTTCTGCTCTCAGATCTAGCTGACGGGGCGCTAACAGAACGTGAGCTACCCCAGGGCCAGCTGCAAACTGTTCCTTTGACCCTGTGACCCTCGAGCAAGGGCCACAGGACTCAACCACACACGGCTAATGCTCCTCACCCCACATCAGCTTTCACCTGGGAGAAACACGGCGCTTGCTGAAGAGGCGCTGCAAGATCCTGCACAGGGTGCTGCGGCAGGATCAGTTCTGAACTGCTCAGCACCCCAGGTTGGGCTGTAACCCGGGGTCGTACACAAGGGAAATGCTCAAACCAAAAGCCGACCTTGCCACGTACCTGGTGGTTCTTCATCTCTTCTTCCCTCCGCTGCTGGAGCTGCTTAAGCTGCACCTGCAGCTGATTCTCCACCTGCCTCTGCTTGTCCAACACCTCCTGGTAGCGCTCCTTCAACAAAGCCCTCTCGGACATCATTTTGTCCTGCAGCGGAAAGCGGAAATTTAGGGAGAACCTTCCCCCGTACTGAAGAGAGGAGGGGTACAAGAGCCCAGCAGGTGCCACTGGCGAGAGCCACAGTGAAAGAGCTTCCACTTTCAAAGCTCAGGCTCTCTAGATGGGAAAGGATGAAGGGAGACACAGCCTTCAGCTAGCACTGCATTTCCTCCTTTAAAGAGGACAGTTTAGGAACTCCAAAGCCATATTTAAACGAGGAAAAACACCCTGTGGGGAGAGCAGCGTTCCAGGGAGAGCAGCGTTCCAGCTCCTTTACCCTGGCACGGGCAGCATCGGGGTGCAAGCGGCAGAGCCTGGACCCTGTCGCCGGGCTCTGATACCCACCAAGTTCTTCTCGATATCCTGATCGGTGTTCACGTCCACGTCAGCCGCCTTGAAGTCAGTCTGCGAAGGGAGGCGAT